CTCTTCATCACTGTCATTTGTTCATTAACAGTAAACTCTATTGTAGAATTATAATAATTATTTCTACCATTACTACTGCCATCATGTACATCATTAATATGATCATTATCATAGTCATTTGAAAAATCTTTATCATCCAAGAAGCATAAACATTTGCTTTTTCAATCCCCAGTTTGAATGAAATAAGCAAATAAAAGGTAGAGACATGAATTTCTTTGAGACTGATAAACATCCTGATGCTCTACATGTCACTATGCTTGTTATTCTACACCCCTCCCCACACACTAGTATTCACCTGTAACAGTCACTAACAGAAAGTAAAGATATATTAGTCTTACAGTTAGTCAATTGGTTAAGCAGTGTTCTTAAATATAAGTTAAAAAAGAAAAAAAAGAAAAAGAAAAACATCAACAAGATAAATCTACATTCCAACAACACAGCATCTAGTAAAATCATCGGAGACTCACCAAGAGTTCATCTCTGTCCCAAATAGTGTTTTGCTGACGGGGGGAAAAGGAGGGTGGATGGGGTAAAGACCAATCTGCTGATGTGATGGTACATTTGGCGTGCAGGATGGATACATGAGCGGCACAGAGCCACTCTGAATCAAAGCTTTTTTTAGGAGCCTCCAAAGAGTTAAAAAGGTTAGGCATGTCACCAAGGACACTGAGAAAATTAAGGCACACTAGATTTTCTTTTTTTTTTTTTTTTCATATGGAATGTGAGAATGATCAGTTTATTTCACACTTGTTTCACTGCGAGTTAAAAATCATTAGAGGAATGGATCTTTAGTCATTGTTGTAGCAGACTATGCATAAAGAATCTTACTAAATATAAATCAGAAGTAATGTACTCTCATTATCAGCTGTACCCAAAACAGCAAGGGGAAGAGCTTGAAATGACATAAATATACTGAAGGCCCTTTTGCCATGTTGCTTCTCTATTACGCAAAATGGTCTTTGGCATATTCATGCTTTACTACACTTTTCTTTGTTTTATTTATAGCTTGCTCAGCATTAATCCTCCCCATTATCAACTGAACTTCGATTAACTGCAAATTACCTCTTCTTAAGAAAAAAAAAAAAGTTCAAAATACATATATGATTTATGCTAACCTAACTGCCTTAATTTTCTAGAAGTGGTTGCATACAGACTGTATTTCAGTGGAACCAAAAGAAGTGCCTGTTTACCATGCAACAAAGAACCCTTCAAAGGAATACTCGGGTGCTGTGCCTATTACAGGTAAATTTACAGCTACATGAATGTGGAAAATTGTTTTTGTCTATTTCTAAAATAATAATTAACCAATACTCATCATATACATTTCTAGATATCCTAAAATGTGAATCTTTTATTTCTACAGAATATATGAAATCTTACAAGTCTATTTTTTCTTACAGCAACCTGGTATTCTATAATTTTGCCAAGGTAAATGTTAATCAAAGAAAATTTCTGAGTATCCTTATCTGACCACTTTGCATGGACCACTAAGCCATAGAAAATAACATTAAAAACGAGAAACAAGGGAAACATTATTGTCATTTGCTGTAATACCAAATTTATAGTACATACGATTAACAAAATCTGACAAGAGCTAAAAAGCACATGTTTATCCAACCTAAACTATACAAATTCATATTTACATACATATATAGACATAAAAAGTATACATATACATGTGTAAATATGTATTAATGTATAGTTTTAACTATATAACGTCATCCATTCAAATCTTATTGGCTGGATCAAACAAGATCTACTTCCGACTCATTGGCTGCCCTCTTCACCCTCCAGCACAGGTCATCTGGTCTTAAAATTTCCTGGACACTTTTTATATCACATAATAAAACCATGCCACATCATCAGATCATTAGATATCATAGAATAATAGATAAGATGCAATTTACATTCCACTGCTTCGGATTTTTTAAAATTATTGTCTTCCAGGGAACCTATTTCAACCTTTTGCAATCATTGTCCTGTTTTGGGTGCTTGGGACAGTCTATGAGTCGATGGTGCACTACTTAAGCCGACAAGTAGTCGCTAAACAATGACAAATCAGTACCTCCTCTGCTAAAGATTCCTCTGAATCACTCTAAATGAAATGCACAAGATAATCATTGGTGAACTGTATCCGTGAAACAAATAATTTCAAAATATTAAACACAACAATCTCTGGAGCTGAGATTGAAACATTGAAGGATATCTAGCTATTGGTATAATCATAATGTATATGTAAATATGAATATTTTTCACAATGAAATCAGTAGTTATATTTTAATTTTTTTCATAGAGTTGAAGTCTATTTATAGAGACACCACTAAACTAATAACCATTCATTTTTTTACTTTTTTTGTAGAAATGTTCTTCGTGTGAAAAATACTTTTAGAACAAACTGAACAAGAATAGATCAGAGTCTCTGATAGTAAACACTGGGCCAATATTAGATATACTGAGATCTTTTGCAAGAATCATGAATATATAATTCATTTGAATACAATGCTGAAACTGCATGATCATGGTCATATGCACTACAATGAAACAAGTGACTTCCAAAACTATAAAGTATTGAATTTGCAGAGAAACAAGTAGTGTGAACTTAACTGCATATGATAGCTGAAATAGTAATTTGAAGATCATTCATGTATGAATGTATGTCATATACATATAGAATGAATTGTGTTTTCAACATGATGATGTAATTGCTTTCAATCAAGAAATTGATTAATGTCTTCTAATATGTAATCATTAGTAAATCATCATCATAATCATTACATTATTGCTAAATGAGAATCAAGCAGCTAACGCAACCTTAATGATTTTTAACCCAGTGCCGCAGGGAAAATGTTTCGTTCACTTTAGTATTGTTTTGTTAAATGTTTTTACACTCAGATGGCTCTGCCAGTGCTTAGTCACAAAGGAGTCAATTAGTAGATCTTGTGACCTCACCCTTTCTTGAAATAGCGGGAAAATGCTTTTTTTACATTGCCATCTATATTGATAATGTTATTTCTTTTTATAAACATTATAATTACTATATTGTTACTGACTTTACTAACAACAGTATTAAATACTAGAAAACATTATTGAAAATTAAGGAAAAGGATAAACAGGAGAGACAAGCACTTTTTGTAACTGGCTCATTGGTGACCAAGTACTTGTGGAGCCATCTATATGTAAAAACAATTACTAAATTAAACACACAGTGGGCATGGCATATATACCCATGCCCTCCCCATCGGCACGTGGTTAAGCATATGACAATTTTAAGAATATTATTTGTCCTAATGAAGTAATTCTTACAAAAATAATTAATATGTATCCTTATGTTTATATACAATGCCTTAATCCATTTGAGATTCTAAAGATATGTACATGAACAATGAATCCTTAAAAACAATCAATCTTTCAAGCATACTAGTATTATTGCTCTAATACAGTCGTCAGCTGCTTCCATTCTCAATATTTAAATCTTATAGAACAATGTAATATTTTTACTACTAGACAGACAATGTGTCAAGACTAATTTCCAAGTCCATTCATAAAGACAGCATCTACCTCCTTTAAATCCATCTAGAGCCAACTAAGTCACCTTACCCGTACAAGTCCCGCCTGGTTGTGTGTTGAGAAGGGGAGTTAAAGAAAATACAAATTAGTGATAAATATTCAGTAGATACATCTCAGTGCAATGCATAACATGTTTATTTTACTACATGGGAGAAATACTAGTAATGTCATTACTACTTATCAGCATATGTCCACATGCATAAGGAAACCCTTTATTCCTTAAAGGTTATTCTAAGAACAAGTGATAATCAATAGCAAGTCCCTTTCACTTTTCCTTTATAATTTGCATAATTTAACTCTACTCTAGCATGCTGATCAGGATCAATAGTTCTCCCTAATACTTGCCTACAAAGGTTAGTTAATGCATGTATTTTCCATAGTGGTTCTCTCAGCTTATACCTTTCACCCCAACACCATTATCATAAAGGAGATGTAATTTACAACTTTGGCATTAGTTTTCACTCTTGGTACACTGCTCTTAGAACAGCTCTTTCATTAGTAATGTCTTTTTCAAAACACAGTTGCATAGGAAGATCAGTTTCAGAATGTAAAATATCAAAAACAGCAATTTCCAGTTTTTCAAGACTAAGATATCAAATATCATTTTGAGAAATTCAAGATATGATTCATATTTACTCTTCAAAGAAGTAAGAGAATGATAAGCCAAGGTTTTCAAAAACAAATATCTTAATATGCTGTTGAATCTAGAACAGAGTCTTCATTCTCTGGGTGGCTGTCATCTTAGTGCCAGAAATGTTTACAAGGTGCTTTGTTAGCAAATCCATGACATATACATACATGGAAATCAGTCACATAATGCAGAATATATATATAATAATAATAAAGCACACTTTCAACACATAGCAGCCTTAACAAAGTATCTCATTACAGGTAGCAGAGTTTAACACAGAATAAATGAAAGCATTAGTTGACCCCTTCATACTGTGTGAAGCAAAAAACATTGCTCATAAAAGGAAAATAACTCTCTTGGGTATTTTCCTTTATTACAACTATTCTGACAGATAGTTCATTCCACTATCCACTTGTTTATAACTTTGTTTTCTGTAATAATGTATTGCTACATACCAACACGATGTTTGTTTTTCTTTAACTCATAACGTTTACCTTACTTTAAAATTTGTCTGAGCAGCTAATCAAAGAGAGCTTTACCTGCCACTGGCAGGTGCTTACAGTGTGTCAGGAACCATAAATTTTAACATAAAAATAAAAATCCTGTTTACCCCATTCTCATGCCGTAAATCTATAAGTACCAAAATATTTTTTTAAACATCATATCTTAAGTCACAGATATGTTTTAACTCTTCAAAATATTTCTATAAAATTCTCAAAGATAGTGCATAAATCAGACCTGGAAAAGAAGAGACAAACAAAGAAAAGAAAAAGAAAAGAAACAGTTTTTCCTTTGTGGCTTT